AAAAAACGGTTCACAATTAACTGTTTAGAGTATATTTAAAGCTTGACTGCAACTGGTGACTGACCACCAATTTCATAAAACCGACTACACACTAGGCTGGGTCGCTAAAAAAGTTTATAAGATCTCAAAAATACATTTGAAACAACTCGAAAAAAAGTTTTGAAGCAAATTTTAGTGACGGCAATTTTTCTCGAAGCCTATTTGTGGTTATCATAAACATTCTTCGAAGCTATGGGCACCGATCCGCTCTACTAAATCTCCGATGCAGCACCACTGGTACATTGTGATACGATTCTGGTCTCAAAATTTCCTCCTAACGATTATGGCTCTTGCCGGATGTTGTCTGATAGGAATAATGGGTTCACAGACAGTTTAAATATACCACCACTAGAACGAATCTTACACAAAATCTTTGGACATGGAGATAACAAGAGCAAAACTCTTTAAAGCCAATGGATATTAGGAGTCTTTGCCATATTTTTATCGAGTACCAAGAAGTTGCTGGGGAATGGGGACAACCATAGACCACATAGATACGGTATCAAAAATAGCGCTCACTTTGAGGAACTGACTCTAAGAAATCGAATTAAAGTAACTCGGCAGCCAGAGTTCCCAAATTTCGCAAACTTAAGCGAAGAAACTTAATAATTTCCGTCTTGATGGCTTTGGTACTCCTCGAAATTGTATTATTTGGGATCGAGGCAACCCACATGTGATTCTCGAAGCACAAAAGTATTGACACCGTGTCACTTTTCAGTGCAGATTTTACGCCGCAGGTATATTCTTCGAAAATGAGAGTGACTATGTAAAAATTTATTGTGGCAAACCAGATATATTTTGGAAGTGAAACGTCATTGCACTCAAGATTAAGATTTAGATTACGATTAAGATTAAGACCAAGATGAAGATTAAGATTAAGATTAATATCAAGATCATGATCAAGGTTAAGATTAAGATTAAGATTAAGATCAAGATTAAGGTTAAGATTCAGATCACGAATAAGATTAAGATTAAGTTTAAGATTAAGATTAAGACTAAAATTCAGATTAAGATTAAGGATAAGATTAAGATTCCAATTAAAATTAAGATAGGGGAGTGATTGGGCACGATTAAGTTTAAAGTTAGGACCAAGAATAAGGTTGAGATTAAGACTAAGATTAACAGATTGAAATTAATATAAAGGATACGATCAAGATTAAGATTAGGATTAAGATTACGCTTAAGGTTGAGGTAAAGATTAATATTAATATTAATATTAAGTTAATGGTAGCTATGCGACTATCAGATCCTTTGAGTTTTGAGTTGGTAGTCATTGCGAAATTACGGGTAACTGCAAGCCAGCTAGATACGACTCCCCGTGATACAGAAATCCATTGTTAATTCGTAGCTTTTATAAACATATACATAAAATGTACATCAGATCACTTTGGCCAAAGTTTATTGCTCAGTTCAGTCAGGCTTACAGTGCACCGAAATCGTGACCACGTAATCTAGCCTAGTTATGTTATCATGCGAGTTCTTCTCTAGAAATAGCGTTGGGTACATATCATTTGGCGCTGACTTTCAGTTATCTCTATTTTCAATATGGGTCTTAAAGCTTTGCCCTTCTGATAGATTGCGTTAGTTAGTTTCGCAAATTGCAAACTGCAAGTAGTTGCATTCAAATATTAGAATTAGACGGTTGTGCGATGGCGCGTTGCAAAATCATAGTCTTTACTTTTCTGATTGCTGTTAGTGTTTGTAATTGGAGTGCCGTATCAGCTGGTAAGTTGTGAAAAGGATGGCGCTCATACTTTCAGGCAATTCGAAATCAATTTTTAAATTAAATTAAATTTTCAAGCTGGTCGCACTCTATGCAGAACTACAGCGAAGAAAGTTGGCTACTGTGCCCAGTTTGAGAATTGTCCGGCTATGCGTGATGTTATGTTATTTCCGGAAATGCTAAATAATAATGACTGTGAAAATTCTGGAATTGTAAGAAATATTCGTTAAAATTATTTACAACTATTTCTAAGTTAACTTGAAACTTTGGTTATGCAGAGTGGCGCGGTTATCTGTTGTCCATACACAGAACGAAGAATGCGTCAGCGGAAAACGACTACAACAGCGCCCCCCACAACTACAACTACAACTGCAACCACTACCACACCAACAGCAACACCTACAGCTGCTGCATTCCCCTCTCGCAATGATAATGACGAAGAAAAGAATTCTAATAGTTTGACAATGGAAAACTTGCATCCTGACGGTTTGGCATTGCTGAATAAACATAAATGCGGCAAAGTACTAGATGATCGCGTGGCGAATGGTGAAGATGTGGCTTTCGGTGAATTTCCATGGGTCGCAATGTTGCTCTATGGCGAAAAGCAACCTCTATGTGGTGGTTCAGTAATCACAGATCGTTTTATTTTGACGGCAGCTCATTGTATTAAAAGCACGTTGTAAGTACTATTTATTGGCATTCGAAGTTAATTATATTGGCAATGAAGTGCAGGTATTTAAAGAAAGGCGAAAAAACGTCGAATAGGTAAAGATATGAGTCCGTTTTTGGGAATCGGCGTGGGGTAATTCTAAGAAACAAATTTTGTTTAATGCGGAGATCTGTTGATTGTTCTCTATTCTAGGTAAAATTACTCAGATGATGCTTAGTTCTTGACGCAACCCCTATAGTATACATTATATACCACAGTATGCAATGAACTTTTTAAAAACATTTAATCCTTTTTTGGTAAAAAAATTCAAAAATGTTACTTTTGAAAAGTGGTTTCGAGGTTAAGTTAATTTTGAATTCGATACGACATTTATAATATCTTTCAAAAATAAAATAATTTCAAATTGTTTGTCTTTTTTAGCAGGTAATGAACTTTACAAAAACTTCAAAATTCGTTTTTTTCGGTTTTTGCGACCAAATAAATAAATTCCTTTCGATAGAATAGCAAACATATCGAGCCCTAACCACCAAAATAACGGGAGAGAATTTTTTTTTAATGTGGTTTTTGATGCAGAAATATTCCTAGAGAATCTAGATAAGTAGCGCTCGGCGTCGACAGAACCACCAATACCAGCGCAACATTTTTGTCTTAGTATGCGTACACTAGCAAACGCAAACTAATTCGTTGCTAGCAAATGTATTTGAAAGCCGAGTAGCTCCCGAAGACTCCCGTGTGCACGCTAGATGCATTTGTGCATCAAAAAGAAAATGTTGAAAAAAAGTCGCTTACGTTATTTTGGCAATAAGGGCTCGATATGTCTTTAGAACTAAAAAAAAATTCATTGCATACACTGAGAAAAAGGTAATATGATTTTTTCAAACAGTGTTATTTCTGGGGTTTCCAAGTTATCGATAAGAAATTTTTGATTAGAAAAAGTATTTATTAAACAAACTCGATCGATCACAGCTGCTGTCAGGAGTATAGTATTTCTAAGCAAACGTCAAGCTGTGAGGTTGTTCTTTATTGTGCTCTAATTTTGGCTTTCTACTTACTAAGTTCATTGTGCTAATTCTGTTAAGGTAGTGATAAAAAGTGCTTATGAGCATCATAATGTGAAAAATTGAAGCTAAGTGAAAGTTATTGGTTTTATATTAAAGTAAATTTAATTAAACTTCACTAGCATACATTCTAATTTTGCCGAGCCATTTGTTGCTATCATTGTTGTTGTATCCTTTGTAGTTAACTGAATTCATTTTGTTTTTGCACATTTGTTCTACTCTTTTTGTTTACTTTTTCTAGTAATTCTTGTCACAGCTGTTTGCATTGCGTTTATTAAGTGTCGTAATTACAGTGATACTCAAACTGTTCGCTACATTTATTTAAAGCTATTTACATCAGCTCCTTAATTGTTATAATTTATTTTGTTTGTCTTTTATTAACGAGTGTATTACATAAGTCTTTCAATATGAAGTGCGATCTTGATACTTGCCAAATTAAAAGCGATTCTGAACGCTACTTATCGTGCTGGCTGTGTGATGGTATTTACCATTTGAAATGTGCTGGTTGACAGGAAGAAGGGCCTTCGCTGGTCTTGCGTAAAGTGCAGGTCAACCGAAGTTGATCTTTTCAAGCTATTTAGGCAAACCAGAAATGGTTTTACAGAAGTAGGAAGAGAATTGTCGGTACTGACAGAAAAGTTTAAGCATTATGAAAATATGTTTAAATAATTCAAATGCTTAGATACCTTGCAATCTGTTAAGGATATCCGTGTGTCTAAACGTAAGCGTCTTCATAGTCCATCTAAGGACTACTACTAACGCAGCAACTCAACCCCCTCCGCCGGTACTCCAGTCTGATACAAGAAAACTAGTTGTGGTTCAGCCAAAGAAGTCAATCTTTGTTTCTAGATTTTTCGAGAGAAATTAGAACTGTCGACTTAAGCATTAGAAAATTTAATTTTAATTACGTAATTTAGATAATTTTAATGCGCTGCTTAGTAGTTATTTTTGGCCCCCCCGGAGCTTTCGTTCGTGAATTCGAATATAGGCCCAAAAAAGTAAATAACTTAGCTAATATTCCCCGTCATAACACTGAATCAAAAAACTAATTATTAAATCTGCTTTAAGTATTTATTACCAAAATGTAAGAGGCCTAAATACTAAATTAACGAACTTATACTTTAAAGGCCTTGAATGTAATTATAATATTCTTTCTTTTACTGAAACTTGGCTGAAACCTCACATTTTCAATTCAGAGATTCTTCCAAATAATTCTCATATCTATAGACAAAATAGGGAGGACAGAATTGGCGGTGGCGTACTCTTCGCTGTAGACTCTTCAATACCATCTGAAGAAGTTAGTCTTCCACACATTGATTCAGTAGAGTTCAAATGCATTCGTGTACAGGCTGGAAAAGGGTCTATTTACTTAGCTCTATGCTATATCCCTCCCCGATCTGACACATTGGTGTATTCACGACTCATCTCTTTACTGAAATCAGTTAATTTACTGACTAAACCCTCTGACTCAATGATTGTGTTGGGTGATTTTAATTTACCAAGCATATCATGGAAGATCATTGACAATGATATCGTACCTTTCGCGTCTAGTGCGTGCAACAACGTATTTTTAGAGGAGATGGCTGAACTCTGCCTAACTCAGGTTAATGTACTTCACAATAAGTTTGGTAAAGTATTAGATCTTGTTTATGTTGATGATGCATCTAAGTCCGTTGTAAATAAGTGTGATCCACTAGTTTCGCCCGAAGATGTCTACCACCCTGCTATGGAGGTATCTTACGAAGTTATAAGTGATGGTCAAAATTGCAGTACCCAAGCATACGAACCAAATATTCGCTTTGATTTTTCGAAAGCCAACTTTAAAATGCTTAACAAAGAACTGTCTAAATTGTCGTGGCCTGCATTTAAAGAAAATATTGAACAAAGCGTTGCACTTTTTACCTTTATTTTACATAAATTATTTGAAAAGCATGTGCCTAAACGCATGTATGTTCCTGAAGAGCAAACACAGTTATGGTTCACTAAAGAACTGATAAATTTGAAAAACAGGAAGTCGCGTTATTTTAGATTGCACAAAAAAACCGGTTTACACTCATACTATGTAAAATACTCACTTTTGCGTCATAAGTTTTTTTGAATTAAACAGAAAGTGTTATAAAGCTTACTTGTTTAAAATCAAACGGCGCATAATTTGTAACCCCAAATCATTTTATGACTTCGTAAACTTCAAGCGAAATGTACATGGGTTTCCTTCCGCCATGAAGTATCAAAATACCGTCTCAAGTGATAATCAAACAATTTCTAACATGTTCGCTCCGTTTTCTAAATCCAATTATTCCATTAACTCACATGCTAATATTGACTATCCTTTTAAACTATGTCCAATGAACTCAATAAATATCCCAGTAATATCTCCCGATGATGTAGTAGTTTATCTGAAATCCTTAAAGCAGTCCTTCAGTTATGGTCCTGACCAGATCCCTACTTGTATTCTTATAAATTGTTCTGATTATCTCTATGAGCCGTTAACAGCGATATTTAATTTATCTCTTAAATAGGGCGTTTTTCCAACTATATGGAAGGAATCGTTCATAACCCCGTTAAATAAAAGCGGTAGCAGATCTACAGTGGAGAACTACCGGGGAATAGCTAAGCTTTCTGCAATTCCTAAATTATTTGAAGCAATTATAACAAATCAGTTGACGCATTCTATCTCTTCTAGCATTTCATATAGTCAACATGGATTTTGCAAGGGCAAATCAACTTCTACAAATTTACTTGAATTAACATCCTATATCTCAAAAGCATTTAGTGAAAGCAAAACTGTTGATGTTATATATTACTGACTTCAGTAAAGCATTTGACAAAGTGTGCCACTCGTTGCTCATCTACAAACTTTATCTTCTTGGTCTTCCACCTAATTTTCTACGTTGGATCTCTTCATACCTCTATGATAGATCACAAAGGGTAATGTTTAAAAATACTATCTCTGACGTCATTGATGTTACTTCAGGAGTCCCTCAAGGTAGCCACCTAGGCCCGGTTCTGTTCTTGCTTTTTATAAACGATATTTCTACAGATATACAATTTTCCAAAATTTCGATCTATGCAGATGATGAAAAGCTTTATAAATCGTACGTTTCAATTAAAGAAAGGTCTTTGCTACAATCAGACTTAGACTGCATGGCTTACTGTTGTCAAGTAAATCTTATGCCTCTAAATCTTAAGCTTCTCGCGAAGAGCTGTTCATTCCGCTTCTTATACAATAGGTAACCATAACCTGGAACGGGTATACAATTTTGTGGACCTTGTTATCACAATGGATCCTAAGCTTAATTTTAATCTTCATATTAATGTGACAGTCAACAAGGCTAAAGGTGTACTTGCTTTTGTGAAAGGATGGTCAAAAGAGTTTTGTGACCCTTTTATCACCCTGTTTACCCTGTTTACAACATTAGTTAGGCAAATTCTGGAATACGGTTCGGTGGTTTGGAATCCAAGGTATCAAATTTATTCAGAAAAGATAGAATCAATTCAAAAACAATTCCTACTTTTTGCTTTAAGAAATTTCCGTTGGGATTCTCAATATAACCTTCCACCTTATACGAGCCGATTAAAACTTATTAATCTTCCTACACTTTCCAGCCGCAGGCAAATGCTTGGTACGATTTTTATAGTTAAATTACTAACAGGCTTAATTTCAAGTCCGCTTCTTCTTGGCGAAGTTAGCCTTAATGTTCCCTCCCGGGTATCAAGACACTTTTGCCCCCTATTTCTATTTCTGAAAGCTTGTAAAACTAATTTTGAATTGCACGACCCACTCCGTTGCTTATGCCAGGATTTTAACTCTCATTCCAGCACGTTTGATATATCAGATGCGCTTTGCAGCATTAGGAAATCGATACTGTCCTCTCTCAATAGATGAATCATTAAAATAAAGACATAAAATCGGCTGATGCATTTAGTTCTGTAGCTGAACAGTTTTAGATCTCGACACTTAACAAACTCCTGCCTACCGTGACTTGGCGCAAAAATTTAAAATACTGGTTCCGTACGTCATGCGGACTGCGCCCCTCGTGCGGATGGGCGGGAATGGAGTGTAAAAACCATTGGGATATTATTATTATAAGAAAATCCTTATGCGGAACATATCATTTTTTGATTTTTTTCGTTTTTTTTTTAATTGCGAAAAAGCATCTGTGAAGTGCAGAACGAAATCGTATTCAAACGAAAAGTCTCCAAAAATAAATCTGTTTAAAATAAACAAAAGCTCTTTTGGCCCAATATCATATTACGTTTAGTTTACTTTTTTCAGGCCAAAAAACAAAAACTTTCAAGCATCCTATTTTTGAGGGTAATTTTAAAAGACAAGGTATTTTATTTTAACCAACCGGACTTCCTTTTCTTAATTCTCCATTTCAAAAGCTAAAAAGTATCGTTACATATATTTCGTTATCTGTTCTCGTTCTCGAGATACATGATTTTGTCACAAAAAAGTCCCCAAAGGATATTACGGTCACTAAGGATCTATCGAAATATCGTGGATTTGTCCAAAGGTGGAAAACCCGGCTGTACCCGTACTGGCAATAAAACCGAAATCCCCCGCGCAAGCAGAAAATCAAGTTCCGCGAAAAGAATATCAGCAAGGGCAGTATATCGTGCATAAAACATTACTTGAGATTCAGCTCATATGAGAGACATCCGCACTTATTTCCAGAAGCGGTAAAACACAGACGAGTTCTGATTACTGAAGAGAAAATTTTCTCTGTGGAAGAATCGTTTAATAAACAAAACTGTAGGATACCTGCTCTGTTATCGAGTGCTTAGTATTTATACAGCGAGGGTCTTTTTTGCACTCAGTAGGGTGTCTGAAGGCAATACAAGTTTAAAAGATCTGCAAAGTCACATTACTCCTTTGTTCTGTTATACCTACGGTGACCACATTTGTGGCAGTGGAATACGGGACAAAAATAATTTTGCAATTTTTTCCACAAAAGCTTGTTTAATTTATTAGTCTGAAACAGCCTCCATATTATTAGCATTCATACATTAATATTCAGTAGTAAAATAATAAATTGTAGGATATTTTCCATAGCTTCATACTTTGCACTCGAGTTTTTTAGCCCGAATTTTTAGAAATGACCCTTGGCAATGGTTTTTTGTGTAGTTTCGCTCAATACGTATATTCTATCTTCAGAAAATTGCCTTCAAGCCAAAGCAGATTGGACAGTATGTGTTTCTCGACTCGAATCACATTTAAATATAATATCTGATTATGGTGAAAATTATTTATTTGTTCACTTAAAATTGGTTCAAATGTAGACATTTGATTTCTATGCGCTGTTAAAGGCGTAAAAGTACCGGAAACCGAATACGGGACCAATACAGTACATTAAAAGAAATACAGAACATTTGAAGTCTCGTATAAAATAAATAAATTACCAGGACAATTGATGAAAAAAGAGGACTGTCCCGTATAAGACAGGACGGATGGTCACCGCAGTTATACCCTATATGCTTTTAACATTTGCAAATAATAAATGATTTTGTTTACTTTAAATTATAGAAATCTTGTGCGCTTGGGCGAACACGCAGTCTCCACTGAAGTAGATTGCATAGCCAATGTATTGTGTGTTACATACCAGGAATTTGGTATCGAAAAAACAATTAAACATCCAGACTACGATTATGCGACCAAAAAGGATATCGCTTTGATCAAGCTTAACGATACTATAAGATTTTCAAGTAAGTGCAAAAATACTTTTTTGGGATTATTTAGATACATGCATTTATTTAGATTTTCAAATAAAAAACTACTTTATGTACACAAATATATAAGTATATTTCTGTATTTTTACTTTTTAGATAGACATACCACTCGCTACCATGTCAATATTAAACCCATTTGTTTGCCCACGACACCCGAGGAATTTACGCTATTACCGGATAGTGATTTAATCATAGCTGGCTGGGGTCTTAAAGAGAATGGTACTCACTCTTTTTATATATAAAAATAAACTTTATCTTAACTTGACTAACAATTTGTATAGATGAACCTGCTGACATACTCCAGAAAGGATTACTAAAACCCGAGGCGTTAGAAGTTTGTAAGCGCTTGTATGCCCGCTATTCGGTTGATGATTCGAAAATCTGCAGCCGTTCTGTAAAGGATATGGTTTCTTGTCGTGGGGATTCTGGTGGTCCAATGTTTTGGAAAACTCGAGATCGCACTCGCCCGGGTTATTTTAAAAACCGTTATGTGCAAATTGGCTTGGTATCTCTTGGCTATATGCACAGGTGTGGCAATTTGACTAATGTGCCGTTTATGTTTGAAAACGTCACACATTCAATGGCATGGATAACACATAATATTTTGAGTTGAAAGGATGTGTTGGAAATTTGTTTCATATAAGGAGTTACTAGATTTAACAGTATTTTAATAATATGTAAATTAATAATTTTGTTTTCAGAAAGAAAATATATGTAGATACTTAACATGTTAATCTGAAAGCATCAACCGACTGATCTAACTGGAAATGGTCAGTATTGAAGTAAATGAGCGTTATGTTCATTTTCACGACATTCATACATATAGGTAAGGTAATTTTCGAACGTGCGCTACAATTTTGTTTGGAAAAATTTCAAAAATTGTCCAGTGTAATTTAAAAAGCGAAATTTTGTATGTAATTGAAAAAAAAAGTCCTTAAAAAGCTTTTAACACGTCGATACTTTTTTATATTCGCGATACTTACTCAATACTTAGGGTTAGGAGCCCTGAAGACGTTGGGAAAATTATAGTAATTAAATTTAGCAACTTCAAGTGCTGTCTGCACCTCTAAAAAAAATTAAAAATTCATATAAAATGACGCACAGGAAATTCAGAAGAAACTGCATGCTATCGAAATTTTTCAAATCAGTATGCATATCGCAAAATGCTCGTATATTTATTAATAATAATAATAATAGATTTGCGCTTACGCATATGTTAGTGTTTGGCCGAGCTTCTCCTCCGTCCAGCTCCACTCGCTAGGTTTGGCCGTGTTTGGCAGTAAAAACCTTAGTTTTTTGTTGTAAACTCCCCAGTCGGTCTTTCTGTTATTTCTAAACTCGCTGATCTGGAGGGTCCTAAGATCTATTTCGTACTAAATGTAACGATGGTCAGAGTAGGACATTCCATTCGAGGCTTTCCATCTCTTGATGTTATAAGCAAACTGGTCAGAAGTCAGGCTTATATCCAGAACTTCTTCTCTGTTCTTTGTTATAAAGGTCGGCTCTGTGCCTAAATTCATAACATTGAGTTTATTTCCTAGAACGACGTCTTATAATGACTCACCTCTTTCATTAGTGTCCATACTTACCCACAGGGTATTGTGGGCATTACCCTCACAGGAGACAACCAAATGTTTGTTCTTGGAGGCCGCCTCCTTCACAAGTGCCCGAGCCTCATCTCGCGGGGCGACCTTCTCATAGCCCATTTAGGTAGAGGCTACCCAGAAGCTCAATGCTTGCCGCTACCAAGTCGCCACTGCTAAGCTTTGGAAGCAAGAAGATGTTTATGTTGCTTCTTGCTAATATTCAAGCCCGAGTCTTACCTGAGTTTTGTAAGGCAATAAGTTTAAAGTCCTTCATCCCGAGCACGCAGGTATTATTGCCGTGTATCCACTTTTTCGAGTCCTTCTTTTTAATGCCACAGGATGGTACGTTAGTTGAAAAGATTCTATAATGCTGAGTTCCCTGAGGCTGAATGCTGGTTTAATTCCAGCACTAAGCTCAGAGTCATACATTGTCGAATTTTCACTGATGGCTCCAAAACTAACTCTTGAAAACTGACTGAAATAGAAGTTAATAGGGATAAGCTTCACTTTTCTCTTGGACAATATGCTTAGGTCTTCCAGGCTGAGGTATTTGCAATCCTCAAGGCCATGAACTACAACTGACCACTTGACTTGGGAAGGCTCAGATCAGGCTTTCCTTGGTCTCACACCAGTTTAGGCACTCTCGCTACCGGCCGTCGAAGCCACGGTAAAAAATTGGGTGAACATATGGCTGTGCAGTAACTAGAAGTCTTTGAAGGGCTACAGTTGGGTAATGGCATGTTGCTCTCGATGTGACTTTCTATGTATTTGCAGACGACTTGTGGGACTGTTGGCTGGTTACTTTTCGCCAACAGGTTAAGCACCTGACTGTGATAGCCATTCATGACAAACCCACTTGGCTCTCCTGCCTAAAAGAAAATGGGATTTTGCAATTATCTATGAGGCTTTTGGCTGCGATGATATGAGAGCCGAGCACCTGAGCTCTTTACCACTTAACAAGCCATGTAGTAGATTTAAAATATATTATGGGAACAAGAAAATGGTACAATGGACAACAAGTAGTCTGAGTGCTGTTTTCTCCACGTGTTGTTTCAACAAAAAATGGTCAACTGCACCTACTAACTGCACCCGGAAAGGGGGAGCTCAAGACCTTTTTCCTCTCATAAAAGTGAAATACTTAAGTCGGGAGGCTAGAAGTGCAAAAGCCATATCCTCCAGTATTAAGCTTATCACATAGCAAACATGCAGCTGCTGCTAGTGCCTTAAGCTCGCCAACTAGTGGCAGCCACATACTGATTGACGTCAGAAATCGGTAATGGAAGCTCCGTAAGGACGCCGAAAAAGTCCAAGACGCACCAAGCTGGTCATACACGTAAGCAATGATAAAAGCAGGATCTATAGGTACCAATGGGAGCGGATTCAAGCCACACTGACAATTGTATGTGGAATTACAAGTGAAGCGAGCCCCACTGGAGAAGTGAAACTTTCGTTACACACATATGTATCTGTTTTGTCTCATAACCATTTATATACATACATACATCTGCTTTTGCTTAAGGTTATATTTTTTTATCTAGATCCCTACCGCTACGCCTGTTCGCTCTAATTACGTTTATGTTATTTTGTTTTCCTTTATCTTCACATTTATCTTTATACAACAACAACAAAATCGATAGTAACATCCCATAAAATATCGATAACAAAACCGATAAAAATTTCTATAGCAAAATCGATAACAATATTGGTAGCAAAATCTATTAGACACTCGATAGAAATATCGATAAAAATATCCATAACAAAATCGATAAAAATATAAATAAAAAAATCGATAAAAATATCGATAACAAACTCGATAAAGTATCTATAACAAAATCGATGATATTGATAACAAAATCGATAAATATCGATAATAAAATCGATAAATATCGATAATAAAATCGATAAATATCGATAAAACAATCGATAAATATCTATAATAAAATTGATAACAAAATCGATAAATATCCATGCCAAAATCGATAAATATCGGTGACACAATCAATAAATATCGATAGTAAAATCGATAAATATCAATAACAAAACTCATAAATATCGAAAACAAAATCGATAACAAAATCGATAAATATCGATAACAAAATCGATGAAAAATATCGCTAACAAAATATCTAAAAAACATCGATTACAAAATCAATAACAAATCGATAAAGATATCGATTATTATATCGATAAGTTCCGAAAATTCCGATAGCAAAATTGATAACAATATCGATAAAAATTTCGATAGAAAAATCGGTAAAACTATCGACAAACAAAACCGATCAAAATATCGATTATTTTATCAATAAGTCCCGAGAATCCCGAAAATCTCTAAAATCCCAAAATAGTTCTCAGGATGAGTCTCTGTGTCTCTCTCTATATCCTTTCCTCTGTATTTACCTTTATATTAGTCGTTCTTCCCCTATCTTCATCTTTAATTTTATCGGTATCCTCATCCTCCACTTTGTGTTTACTTTTATGTTTATCATTTTCTTCATCTATATATTCCCCTTCACCTTTGCCCTTATAGATATAAGTAAAGTGTTTAAATTTACCTTGATCTTCATTTTTGCCTTTATCTTTACGCATCTTTGTGCTTGTTTTTATTTTTACCCTTGCCTTTATCCTTTTCTTTATCTATGTACGTAGTCACCTTTACTTTCATTCTTGTATTGGTCTTTTTCTAAGTGTTATTTTTTAACCTTTTATATATTAGCAAATGTTTGTTAAATTAATACCATATGCATACACACAACAAGCACTTGTTTCAGCCCCAACCATTTCCGTTGCACCATTTCCGTGTGCAATTTCCGTTGAATTTGCCAATTTACTCCCAACCAACCAACCGCCGCTAAAGGAAGTTTCACTTCAATAAATAAAAACAGATAACCATTAACCGATCGGGGAAAAAACCGACAAGTAGTCATTAAAAAAGCTAACATCACAAACCAAATGTCGCCCTTATCATCTGTGTTAATCGTTGCACGATTAACCATCGTTAAATTAGTATTAGCCTATGTTTAGCACATCTATTAAAACAAATTTTACTTATAATACTTCATACAAATGACTATTAGGATATACAACAATATGTAGTAAGTACAATAACCGATTAATAAGTAACAAACAAATCTAAAAATTCGTACATTTTATGCATATTTTTATATCTCTGCGTTTTCAACATTCGCGCTGCGTCCACGTCCCAAACCGCGTTCGAAGTCATGCTGCCGCGCCATGTGATTATTTAAATTGCCCACACATTGATATGACTTGCCACAGGTGGGACAAGCGAAAGGCTTCTCGCCGCTATGCACCAGCAGATGCGAGTTGAGATGACCGCGAGTAAAGAATGCTTTCTCGCATTGATCGCACTTAAAGGGACGCTCTTGCACCTTTACATGCGTCCGCATGTGGGTGCGCAAGTCCGATTTGGTGCGCCAACGTTTACTACACTCAAGGCACTCGAAGGTGCGCGGTATCGTTTCACCAGTGTGAATGCGCAGATGTGAGGAGAGTTGTGTGCGCAAAATGAAACGACGATCACAGTGTGTGCACGCAAATGGCCGCTCGTCCGAGTGCACGGAACGCTGATGGTAGCTGAGGCTGTGACGCGATGCGAAAGTCTTGTGGCATTCGTTGCATTCGTACTGCAAGCCATCGCCCAAATTATGCACGGAGATCATGTGCAATCTAAGCTGGAATTTGCGTGTGAACTTCTTTTCACATTCGGGACAAGGATGTAGTGATTTTAGCGACACATCTCGCGTTTGACAAGCATCCAACGAGGAGCAATCAGTATTGGAAGCGGAACTATCGGTGTGTGACGGAGGACTAACTGGCGTGTTTGGGTTAACATGTTTTTCAATGGTCGCTACAGCTGCCACCGACTTCATATCATTATCCATTGGCGTATCGTTCAAGAGCCGTATTTCCTCAACTGCTCTATCTGTGGTTTCTTTAAGTGCGGCATTTTCTTCATTCGGCGAAGCTAACGTACCATCCCACACACGTTTGAGGTTGTGCTCTTCCAATTGCAATAGATCGTCCAACATGGCGAGCTCATTCGGCCCTATGAAGGTAGTGGGAATTCACTTTCTATCAGGCTTGCGTATTTTCTAGTAAAACATTTGTATCTTTCGCTTACCTAATTCCCCCGTATGCTGCAATCCGCTTTGGCAACATCCAAAATTCTCTGCTGCATTGACGCCTTTAGTGTCGAGAAAATTTACAAGGCGGAGCGCCTCATCGATAGCACGTTCCGTATCTGCATAGCGCCGTCTCAGCTCACTTTCGCTTTCTTCGCAGCGACGCCGGAATTCCAAAGTGTCGCGCAAACGCAAAAAACAATGGTCGCAAATTACAGCCGACAGTCCATCATCGAATGCAAGGTGCAAATTGGGCACGCAGGTGAGCAAAGCGGCGCGCAAGTCTACACCGCAGACAAGGGTGTCGCGCACGTGGCAGTCTTTGCCATCGACCGTAGTTTCACCGAAGATGTTGTACGTATAAGCAGGATTCTCTAGCAAACAACAACGGCAAACTTGAAAATTCGTCATCGCGATTAGGATAGCAATGCAAATTCGACTATACGGCTTTTATTGTTTCGAACTTTGGCACTTTTTCTCCGCTTAGTGGAGATTTTATTTTTCAAATTAATATATTTTTTTTTCGAAATAACCAAACCACTATGCTCTCAAGGCATTCCAGCCGTTACTCTCACAACCGCCGCCACCACTGCAATGCCAAATGAAAGCGACTAGGCAACAGCCGGTAGCCGCGGATCGAAAGCACGAGCATAATCTCAGGTCCCGAGATAGTGATAACGACAAGAGAGGGTGACGATGATTTTATTGTTGTGATTGCCATTGTTGTTGTGGGTTATAAGGTTCACTTCCCTTGTACCACGGCATCAATAGCAACAATGTTTAGCAAATGTTTGCGAATGATAACCCTTGACTTCTATGCGCAGTGCTTACGCTACGAAGAATCAGCAATATGTAACGGGAGAATCGCTAACCGGTGGCGGCTGGTCGAAGTAGATTTGCATGGAACAGATAAGCTAATTGATAAAGTATGCAGTACTTTCTCTTTTATTGTTGTTGTTAGTTATTTTAATAAGCATTAATAGATGCCTACATTTAAAACAAATGGTAGTATTTGGTGTTTTCAAATTTTTTAATTCATAAATTGAATTAAATTCGTTCAAGTAATACATATGTACATACATACATATTTGCCTCCTGTAATTTTCCTCTCGTTTCATTTTACGACACTAATTAGCTGGCTCCTGGTTGATGATTTGTGAACATCTAGAATATTACTTGTTTACAATGGTTGTTTACACTAATTTATTAGTTGTTGATGATTAATGACTAAGCATTTAATAATAAGTAAAGCATTTACTTGGAAACAACATCGACAAAATATATATATTCATATATATATATATTTATATATATTTACATATTTGATGCATTGCCCTCAGTGGCAGTGCCCAATGCGAAATTTCGCATAGAGCAGTGATGGGCATACTTAAATACTTTTGTACTTAAAGTATTAGTTTGGGTACTAAATACCCAATACTTAGTATTTGACTTTGTCTAAATACTCAAGTAAAAAAAAAAAATTATTTATTAATATTATTATTAAAAAAGAAAAACTTTGTTATTTAGGGATTGTTAGGTATTCAAATAAAAAATACTGCCGTATTTAAGGGTTGCTAATATTCAATTAAAAACTAAGGTACTCTGGAGGGCGTAGGTACCAAATTTAAAAAAAGGAAAGTATTTAGCAGACGCTAAACGCCCTGATCTAAAGTCCTCAGGTACTTCAGAGTTACAAAATACTCCCACAAAAGTATTAAGGTATTTAGTAGATGGCGAAATACTTTCAAATAAAGGAATTAACACCTTACCTTCCACTTACCTCACCTCACCTCAACTCAACTCACCTCAACCCAAACTCACCTCACCTAGCTTCCCCTCACCTCCATTTAACTCAACTCAGTTCACTTTAAACTCAGCTCACCTAAACTCACCGCTTCTCACTTTAACTCACCTCATCTCAGCTCAGCGAAGCAAATCACAGAAAAATTTTATTTCTTAAAATACCGAAACAGTTCCGAAAATCTTGATATAGTTACGAAAATCTCGAGGTAGTTCCGATAATCTGAAATAGTTCCGAAAATGTGGAAGTAGTCCCCAAAATCCCGAGACAGTTCCGAAAATCTTGAAATGCTCCCTAAAAATTTGAAATATTTTCTAGAAAGCCGGTTCTCAATCAACTCCACAAAACTTTTTAACTATTAAACTATTGTTAGCCTTGAATTCCTATTGGAAGTATTTTTAATTACTTTTTGCAGAGAGAGTGGAACCAATATAAGTGTGAAACGAGGGATAAGGCCTGCTATGAATGCTTCATTCCGTTACCAATGCACCAGATTTAGAATAAAGGTTAAGTATCGTTTTCTCAAGTAAGTTTTAAAATTTATCTGCCCTTCAAATATTTTTTTTTTCAGAACAACATTTTTTTTAAAGTCCAGATAAATTTTAAAACTTGCTTGAGAAAATGGCCCTAAATCAGTAATGTTACTAGACCTTGGCGCTATTAGCTGCACTTAAATTGCTTTGCAAATACTAGAAAGTAGGGTAAACACGCACCTAACTAGCTCAATAATGCGCTGAACAACTAAAGAAAGCCGTTTACATTTGTATCTGGCGCCAGGTAACAAAATACAACGTACTCTAAGTCCCATTTTGTGGCCACAGCCGCCAGGTTCTCAGTAATTAGCCAAATTATATGAGTGAATGCTTTTTCTTGTCAGAATACCTTTAGCTCCACCCAGTCTTCGCAGTTGAGATTCCACCCATGTAATCCATTATGAAAAAAGGTAATCTAGTTTCATTATATACATACGTTCTGGTTATTGCAGTGCTTAACCAGAAGTTAATTTTTGGTCAAGGAACCACAAACAAATCTTTAGGGATTTTCGTTTCTGCCATTGCCGCAAGTTAAAATTAAAATACTAAAAGAGAGAATCTAGAAGAATGAATAGTAAATTAAGTTATATTTTTTAAATACTTTTAATACATATTTGTTTTTTTTTTTTTGGTATGAGGGAAGGCGCTCTGAATTGAACAACACATAGAAGGGGAGGGAAAATCTCATAAGGATTGAGTACTTGAGAATGTGGCCAGTGTCTTCATGGCTATAGCTCACCTCTTTCGTCCCAATTTTGCTGCACACGATATGCCCATGGCTAGGTGTTAAACATGGAAATTTCCTATTGGCAACTTTCTTATCTCATTTAACAAAATTCTATTTATTTGCAATCTAACTTGGCGTTATGTCAATATGTCGAAAGTCGCTGAACTTGCATTTTTTAAACAAATCAATTTCAACAAACTGATTTTAAAATATAATTACATTAAAAGCAGTGTGATTGATATATTTTTTTATTGTACAAAAACATGTGTGCATGTATATTTGATAAGGATAATTTGCAAACAGTTTTTAAAAGTGTAAAAGCTCTTCGTATTTTTCTTAGAGGTAAAGAGTAAGAGTGATCAGCGACTTATAGTTCTCTGTTGTATATTATATAAAACTATTGAATGCGAAGTAGGCCTATAATGTATGGTTTCCTAAGCCGTTTCAGATAAGAATGTGCCAAATGGGTAAAACTTTCAACCCTTTTCACATATAAACTTTATAAACGCCAATAAAATTATGTATATTGTTTTTTGCTACTCTCTACCTCAATCCGCTGTCAGGAACTTGCTATTTTTTTGTGTTTAACAATTTTATTAAAAATAAAAGTTTTTACACCCTTGCGCCCATCGTTTACCTTGAATACCAGGGAGTCACAAAATATAAAAAAAAAATCTTTGTAAGTGACCTAGTAAGAGCTGGCCGAGGAATTCACGAAACTGTTTACAAAATTTTTCTAACACTCTCAAATTCTCAACTTATTATTAAAAAGCTATTTTCGCATGACTTCCGTTACTAAACAATTTTTAGCTCGGTTATTATTAACAAACTGGAAGTTTTTATATGGCTTTAGAAAGAAGAATATTTGTTCTATTTAAATAAATAATCGAGGGATTAACAACGGTGTCGTAAATGTCGTATACTTTAAAATCTTAAGTAAATGTTTAGAGAACTTGAAACGACAACCAATTTTTTTTTTACTTTGCGAACCCCTTTAATATATTTTCTAGGCGTTAGTATTTTACGATATACAACAATACGACGCTTACGAAACCGTTGTGAATACCCCAAATAAGTTTTGGAAGCACATTGTCAATATGTATGTGGAAAATGTTTAGAATCAATCTGAAATTTACAAAAATTTTTATTATTTTTTCTACTTCAACAACATTTTTGCCAAGATTTCAAAAGAAATTAGTTTTTTTAATCATTACTTCGAAAAGATCGTTTCATTTCGAGTAAAACTAGAAATTAAGTTATGACATTTTTTATAAAGATACATAATCAAAATTTTCTATACGAACTATTGGAATCTCAAAGTGAATCCAATTCAACCGATTCTAATTTTAACATTGATTTGTGAAAATTTTTTGTTCATGCAATTTCTGCCATGCAAAGTATGTTCGAAATTTTTTGTATGGAGAAATTGAGCAACACCTTTCTGAAAAACCATACAATAAAACTGCATACTCGGAATGTTTCTAAAAAGTCGAGTTAAAATGCTCGACATTTTAATTGACTTTGTCAAATTTTCCAAAATTTTGTACAAAGTTTGTGATTTTGACTTAAATTGTTTTTGTTAGATAAAGAGTTACACTTTGATAAAAAAAACAATAAACATTTAATAAACGAAAGTAAAATAGTCAAATAATTCTTAAATGTCTCTTCTCTATTTATATTTTCTCCACTGTATGCCAGCATAAGCATTGTAAGCAGGAAGTTACTAAGTATTTACTTTACTTTTATTTTATTACTCTTTAAATACCAGTTTCTTCTAGTTTTTATTTTATAATTCCAAAATAACAATTATTTTTGATTTTTATCTAAATAATTTGCAAATAACAGTTATTTTTAAATAAAAATTTATTTCCGAATTTGATTCTCGGTGAAAAATGAAATCGATTGGTATGTATCACTTATTTGTTGAACATTTCCTTCATAGTGAATTTTTCAATTGCAGTTTTCACCAATAACTGTTCTGATTGTAAGTACTTTGAAATTATATTATATTTTTTTAAATATCCGTGACTTCGGGAAATTTTTCTGGTACACTTCAAGTGGACTTACTTTATATAAATTTTTTTTTTCTACAGGCAACCGCTATTTTTGATGGAAAATATTGAAATTGGAGTAAACCATTTCAGAAATATCAGAAAAAATACCTCAGTGTTTTCATTTATTTTTGTTAACCTTCAATTTCTCTTAAAAACAAAATCCTGTTGTGATGATTTTGTTCGTGCAATACTTCAGTAACAAACATATTTTATTGCAAAAAACAAAAACCAAGGGAAAAACTGATAAGAAATGAAAATCCATAAATGAGTGAATATTTCAATAAATAAATATACCCTTGGGGTCAGCTGATTAAGTTAACTGTCATTTTGACTAGTTTTGGCTACGTTGTTTTTTTTTATTTAATGTTTATATTTTTTTTTTATAAAATGCTAGCATATTACCTAACCTATAAATCCCCGTTTCAAACTTCGTTCAAAAATTATAAGAGTTCAACAAATTTCAGAACTCCAGAATTTTTTTGAAAATTTTGTAGCTCATTAAATTTTAGTAGGTTAAAGTACAGATTTCAAGGCGCTGGAAAATCGCGTGAATTTTTAATATTTTTTTTTTTTTGGCTGACGGTGTTGTGTATTTTCTTCCATATAAAATATGCTCCAGGTTTGTATGGAAGAAAATGCCATCAGCAAAAAAAATATATATATATGTATATTAGAAATCAGCGCGATTTTCTATCGTCTTCAAATTTGCACTTCGACCTACTAAAATTGAATGACCTACAAAACTGCATAACCACAATATTTAAAAAAATTCGAAATAAAATTTTTGGGTGCAAATGTTAAAGTTTGTTGAATTATCATAATTTTTGTACGAAGTTTGAAATGTGGATTTATGTGGGACTGGTTAGGTAAAGTGC